GCCGGAGCCTAGCAGCTACCTTGCACCATAAGGCAGCACTGAGAAGGGCAGGGCAGCGTGGAGAAGGGCCTGGACCACAGATGAGCAGAAGCCACTGTGCGAGACCCATGCTGCCGGTTCAGGACCCCCACGTGGGCGGGCAACGAACCGTAGAAACCTATGTTTGGGGTTTCTGTTACTCCAATGCTCACACTCACGCAGGTACACACACACACACGTACACACACAGCCTGACTGGAGCACAGTTCAGGGTTCGGCTGCCTGGCCGGACCCACTACCACAGCACGCAGCAGCGCAGTGTCCTGCGAGGTGGGGCCACGTGGTGACTGCAGGCTCGGGTTCCCTTGGCCTGGGTCCTGAAGAGCTGGAGCTGGAGAGAGGGAACCGTGGAGTCCCCACCCTGATCCACACACACCTGCTGGCATTCAAAAAGGAGCCCTCCTGAGCCACGCCCAACATGCGGACCCTGGGAGCCGCTGTTGCCCGCTGTTGCCTGCGTTGAGAAATCCCAGCCCAGCCTAACCCTGTGTGGGTCTGCCGGGTGGACCCCACCCTGCCCGCCCACATGCCGCTGACCCCACGTCCAGGCTCGCTCTGAAGCCCGTGGCTGCAGGGCCTGCCCTGGCTCTGCGCTCCTGCCTCAGGGACAGCCTCTTCCCCTGGGGACAGAGAAGCACAGCTCACTTCTCACTGGGCACGGAGGCAGGTGGTGCCTGATCATGCCCCCTTCTCCCTGGGACAGCCCCAGGAACTGGCCTGGCAAGCCCCTCTGCAGGGCCCAACCCCAAGCACTCCCCACACTCCCCTCCTTCCACTCAGACCCGAGCTGGGGCGGGCCTCACAGCCAACTGGCTATAGAAGCCAGATCTCACTTGGCCAACCGTGGCTCGAATCCCAGGACCTGGCGATTTGAAAAACATGCTGGCATGTCCTTGAAGGAGAAGGGATTATGGTGTAACCACGACCCATTAAGGGGTATTTCCTTCCTCTCTCTCTGTCTCTGTGTCTCTCTCTGCCAAGTGCATATGTTCTCCAGCAACTTTAAAGGAGAAAAATAAAAAATCTTGAGGCTCTGGCTCAAGCCACTCAGCCGGGTGGTGGCAGACCCAGGATGTGGTGTCAGGGCTTCCCGCTGAGAGCAGTGGTGGCTTCCCTGGGAGGTGTCACAGCCAGAGGGCAGAGGCCTGAGAAGGCCCGAGAAGTGCCAGGGAGGCTGGAGTGAGGATAGCAGCTGGGATGGGCCAGGTTCCCAGGCAGAGTCCAGCCAGGGACAACTGGGGCAGAGGTCCCAGCGGACAATCACAGCCAAGCATCCCAGACCCTGTCTCAGCCCAGTGGCAGCTTCTGTGCCTGGGGGCTACCCCTCCTTGGGCAGCCGGGCGGCAGGTGCAGGGCGCAGCTGGACAGGGGGAGCAGGGTCTAGAACACAAGGATGCAGGCTACATCAGCTGGTCTGTGCCAGAGGCAGGGCGGAGGTCTGGGACCAAGGGGCGAGGGGGGCTCTTCCTGCCCCTCCAGAGAAGCATCCTGGCCCTTCCCAGCTCCGGCCTGCGGCTCACAGCCCTTCCTCCACCTTCGAAGCCAGCTGTGGGCCCTCAACCCCTTTTCTATCCATCCCCTCTCGCACAGACGTGGGCCTGCACCCCGTGGCCCAGGACAACCCCCTCCTCAGACCGGCCTGCTAAGCCCTTTCGGGTATCAGGATCTGAGAACAGAGGCCCAGGTACTGGAGCTACCCTGAGCCAAACCAGGCCCTCCCGGCCTCTGCCCCAGGCCTGTGTGCTGGAGGGAGCCCATGGCCCAGTAGGAAGAGTACTTGCCTGGACATGGGGGCTCAGCCTCGAAGTCCGATGTGGTTTCCTCCTGTGTAAACAGGATTCAAACCCTCACATACGCTCACTGCTCAATCCAGCTCCTGTAGAACGGGACACCGAGATGAACACCGGATCAGCCTGCGGAGACAGAAAAGAAAAGCCGTTTGGGTGCACGGGCTCCACCACAGGCGCCTGGATCCTCACCTAGGCACGCCTCCTCCCCAGCTCTGCGCTCACGCGGGCCACGCAGCACCCGCGAGGAGACGGTGCACACCGCACACCCATCTCAGGCCGGTCTGTGCTCACCAGCCTGGGGGTGGGAGGACACTGCGAGCGAGGATGCAGAGGCTGGGGACAAGGGACACCTGGGTGTGTGTGAAGCCACAGGGACAGAGGAGAGGGAGCCAGACAGGGCTTCAGACTCCCGAACCCACCACCTGTCATCCCTCCCCTTTGGGGGCACACTTGGTCTGATGAGCCCCAGTGGGGTGCTGTTAGCACGTACTGTACATGAGGCACCCAGAGGGCGTTCCATCTCCAGCCTCACCCCACCCTGCACCGGGCTGCACCCCCAGCCCAAGCCCTGGTCTCTAGGGAAGCCCCCAGCAAGCAGGCATGTCGGGAAAGTGCTGACGCCAGAGACACCACAGACCTCCCGGCTGTCCCCAGCCTGCATGGTCTCGCACGGTCCTGTCCAGAACCGCAGACATGCCAGGGGCCTTGCAGTGAATCCTGCCCCTCCAGGCTTGACCCTGACCTTCAGCGCGGCTCTGACCTCAGGCCCTACCCAACAGGACCAGGACACCCGGCCAACCACACCCCCAGGTTGGTGTCCTCAGCACTCGCTGTCCCCGTCGCAGTCTGAATCCAAGCAGCACCTTGTTCTTCAGGAGGGTCAGCCTGCACCCACCCTGGGCTGGGCCCTCCATCGCCAGGCACGCTGTGCCTTTCTGTCCTCGTCATTCTCCATCTCCCCACGACACGAGAGTTCTGGGGCCTGGGACCAGGTGGTCTACAGTCCCTCTCCTCCTGTCTGCCGGCCACGTCTGCCTGTCCAGGTGGCCCCAGGAGGGAGCCTGGGGGCAGCAGGTGCTCAGTGAACACCCAGTCCCTCTTGCAGTCTGACCCTGCTCCTGTTTGTGCTGGGGCCAGACCCCACGAGCGCCCAGGTGTGGGAAGGTCTTCCCAAGGACAGCAGCTGCAGCTTCAGTGGGAGCCCTGGCCTCCCGGGGGCAGCAGATCACAGGATGCAGCAGGGACACACTGGCCAAGGACAAAGGCTCGCCAATTCACCCGGCAGCTAAGAGTCCTGGGGATGGGGTGACAGCGAGAGGGGGAGCCCCGGCCACGACTAACTCGCGGATACCTGAAATGCTTGGAGGGTACAGCGAGAGGGAAGAGACTGCAAGGCCACCTCCCAGTGCATCTGGGCAGAGTCCACACCCCGTGACGCCACAGAAGCTGGGCCAGGGTGCGGGGCCCAGCAGGCTCCTGTGTGTGGCTGGTTGGGAAGTGGGGTGAGCCCGAGTGGGAGCCAGCTGCTCTGGGGCAGCCCCGCCTCCTCTCCCAGCCCTGGCTGGTCGGTCTCAACAGGCTGAGCACACACACACCCAGAGCAGCCCTTGCCCCAACAGACGTGGGGCAGCTCTGGTGGGAATGACAGGCTGGGATATGAGGTGTCCAAGTCAAGGACATACCCAGACTGGAAGAGGGTGGGGCCTGAGGGCCAAGCAGACCTCCCCGAGTGTCCCCTGCCAGCTACATCATTGTGCCATCACAGGTCACTCAGCCCAAGCTTACACCCATCAAGAACCCAGCTAGCTGGGGTGTGGTGACAAGGAGGGACACGTCTGTCCCAGGGACCAGCAGTGGTGGGAGGGGTCGGGCCAGCTCTGGGTGGCATCTGGTGTCAGGCTGCAGGATCTTCTGGGAAGCCCCTCCCAGCTGGCATGGGGCTGCTCTGAAGCCTCATGCCGGCTGGGAACTCCTGGGACCCAGTGGCTGGGGCGAGGCTGCTGTCCCACAGCTCAGGGTAGTCATGGCTCCTCCTGGCCTGGCAGGGCAACATGGGGACCACAGGGGCCTGCAGTCCAGCCGGGCTCTGAGCATGAGTCGCTGCCTCCCAAGATTGGGGTACTGTCCGGCCTCTGTGCTCAGTCCCTCATCTACACAACTAGGGAAACGAGGCCGTCTTAGAGGTCAGCTGGGGAGGTACTGACATGCTGCACCCAGCCAGGCTTGAGGACTCCGCTCTATACTGAACTTTCTCGTGGGTGAGGCTCAGGCTCCTTGCACCCCCCAGGTCTGTCCCCGCTAAGCCCCCACGCCCACTCGCCAATGGCAGGGCGGGAACAAGCAAGCCCACTGGATCTGAGCCCCTCTGACCCCCTAGAAACCAGCTCAGGGGGCCGGCCACCTCCTGGCTGTGTGCCCTCCTTGCCCTGCACAGGAACAAGCCCAGCATGACTGCTGAGTTTCCTGTTTGCAGGGCCACTGCCACCTGCCTGCTGGGGCGATGGTGGCACCCAGGGTCGGCCCCTGCCCAGCCTACAGGCCCTCCGTGGGGCCAACTGGGCAGCTCCAGGAGGGTGCGCTTCTGTCCCCCAAGACAGAGCATATCCTATGTGCCCCTACATCCACCGAGCCCCAGGTCACCTGTTCTTTCCCCACTCACCCGCTGACAGCTGAGGGTGCATAGGGGACAGAGCCGTCCAGGGACTCAGGTCTCCCAGGACAGGAAGCAGGTGTACACGGCTGCACCACTGCCCCAGCCGAGGCGTGAGAACCCACTTGAGGAGATGGTGTTCCCAAAGCCAAAGCAGGAAATTCCTGAGGAAGGAGACTCCGTCATCAACACTGGGGCTTGCCGAAGGTCAGTGTCACAGAGGCAAGGCCACCACCTCCTCCACTCCCAGGCCCCCCGCCACAGTGGGGAAGGTTCCAGGAGAGATGGCACCACCTGCGCCTTTCCTCACACTGACGCACGTCATCTGGCTCCTGCCAGAGAGCCGACAGTGAGCCGTGGGGCGGGGAAGGGGCTTTCAGACTGCATAATCCTGGGTGTGCTTCCTGGCATTCAGGCTTAATAGCAGAGACTCCAGAGAAGGCCGGCCACCACTGGTGTCCCCACCCCAGAGACATCCAGACACAATGAAAAACACCGGGGCTCCCATCTGGGAAATCCTAGGAAGGATGGGGTGCGGGGACAGCTGTGGGCACACCTGCTCCGGGAGACCCACCCAGGAAAGGAAAAAACAACCCACAAGCTGGGAGAAACGACTAGGAAAACGCGTGGGACTCAGAGGATCATGTGTGGGACTTGAGGCTCGTGTGCGCAATCCACGACGACAGCAACACGCCAGGCCATCCAGTCAGAGCAGGGGTGCTGGTGCGAGGTAATCCCGAGGGGACGTGCAGGTGCACGCGGGCCCACAGGCCCTCGGGGCGCAGACAGCAGCACCCGTCCAACGGCCAAACTACCACGCGAGCAGGGGCGGAACGCTCTATCAGGGTCTCCTTTAGGCCACCCAAAGACCAACCCCCCCCCCCGCGCCGGCCGTCAGCACATCGGGCTCGGGGATCCGGCAGGGCGGCAGGCCTCCGCAGGAGCGCCGCGCTGGGGCCGGGAGCTCAACGCGGACGTCGGAGCCCGGGCCCGCCAGGTGGGGCAGGGGCAGGGACGCGGGGCCGACATGCGGTCACGGCGCAGACGGTCTTTAAGGCCGCGAGCCTGGCGGAGAGCGCGGACGAGCGGTGTACACGGAGGGGGCGCGCCTGGAGTCAGACGGCCGGCGCAGCCAGAGCGAGAGCCGGGCCCAGGTGGCCCCAGCGACGCACCACCGAGGGGACAGCCCGCCTCCCGGAGCGCCGCCGGGGAGGGGCGTGGAGGCCGGGACGGAACCCAGGAAAGGTCGCCCGGGTGCGAGAG